GGACGGCGCCGGTCGCAGGCCAGGGCCCCGGGAGCCGCCCTCAGCGGCCGCGCTGCCCGGCGGCGGCGGCCGGGCCCGTAGGGATACCGGTACAACCACGCAAGCAGAAAGGCTGGGAAGTCACCCACCGTACATTTGAAACAATACGTTATTGTGAGTAGAGCCAAACCTCTCCAAATCGTTTCTTTTGAGCTAAAAACTGGATCTAGAAGCAAATACACAAGGACCCGCGGGTGCCTGATAGAGGAAAGAGCACAAATTTGATAGTCAACTAAAAAAACATAAGAAAAACATGCTCCTGCGCTTCTAAAAAGTGCTTAATCCGTGGTACATGGCCTCAGCTCTGCCTGAGGGGTGCAAAGGCCTAATGACAAGTACTATAACCAAAACAGAATCGATTTAGGTAAGGCAATGAAATAAGAGTGTAATTACACAGACCCAGATTCATTTTCTAATAAAGGAGGAACAGTTTCCATTAGTGTCTCAGTAACAAAACCACTGACTGCCACATGACTATGGCAGTATTTCTTAAGCCTTTGAATCAGAGGATGAGTTTTTGTACTTTGTTGTAGCTTTTATATAAAAATTTTTCTTTCAAGGACTTTCATCTCTATTTGTGCCAATCACTTTATAAGTTCATTAGTTTACAAATGATTGCAACAACCCGTTAATAAAATGGAACACTTAAAAGGGTTTTTAGTATTTTAAATAACTTCAAGCTTCATACTGCAGCTCTTTTTGTTAAGGAGGTTGAGCCAACAAGTAGCAGGAACAGCCCAGCAAGTTCTGATGCCCCAGTGGAAGTGACTAGTTACAAAGTCTTATTGGCACAGCCTTGCTCTGCTTTAAGAAAACAAACAAACAAAACAAACAAAAAACCACCAACCAACCAAAAAGGAAAACGGAAAAACAAACAAATTAACATAATCTAAACAAAGAGCATATTTTCCAAGAAACAGTTCATATTCTCATACAGCCATGAAAAATGTTTAATGTCTTAACATACATGTGTTCTTCCTATATAATTAATTTGGAAATACTACAAATGCTGTCATTTTAGACCAGAAAAACTACTGTGATTTGCAAGACCTGACATTTCCTAAAACAGTATTAAACAATGTATTAAACTTCTTGGCTTTAAATGAAACAATACAATGCAAGTCTCTGCAGTCTGCATTTTGCAAAAGGTAAGAAATACACAAAAGTGTGTGAACAACTCACTCCTATTAAATGATCTTCAGTAACTCAATAGCCTGCTGTAGGGAGCTTACGCTTTCAAATTAAAAAAAAAAGTGGAGAGCGTAGCCCAAATATGCTTAATCCATAAGAACAAATATGGTAAAGGCCCAAACTGCTCAGTCCAGATACCTAAGAGCGGAATGGTAAGGCTGTAACTTATACTTTGTGTCAGTTGACGGATTATCCACTAACTTATCTAATAGCTAAAGTCTTCAGTACGGCTGTTATAGGGGCACTCATAGCTTGAGTCTGTGTTGGAAAACATAAAAAAGAGCTTGTTTTGTTGACATTGGTCCAGGTGTACAACAGTCCTTGGTATTAGCCATCTTCCTTTGGAGGAGTGTACCAGCCTATGGAGAAGAGAAATGTGTTAGGTTCTGACACTGCTGCATCAAGATGATCTTATCTTACTCTGAATTTGTGAGAGACAGAAGCCTAATCTGGCTCCTTCCCTCTTCAAGTAGGCCAGCCCAGTGAGACTCACTGAATGCTAGCGGTGTGCAGTGGGAGATAAAGCACATGGCAGGATCAGACTCAGTATTTGGGCGTGAGAACTAAATACTTCCAAATTCGGGTTTTTTTTGTGACAGCACCAATCCCAAGCTGGACATCAGAGGAAGCTATTGTGGGAAAAACACTTCTGTTAACAAAACCAAATGGATATAGGTACAACACCCAAGTCTTCAAGCTACTTAATGCACAGACATACAAACACAACTACACTGCGATACTTCTATATATAAATTCCATCTTGTGTACTGAAGAGCTAGGCATGCACAAGCATTTTAATGGTTTATTCCTACTTCTGCAAATCTTGCTGTAGGAAATGGCTCAAACGTCAGCTGAGTAACTTGCCTCCTGATAGGATCTGGCATGTTTAGCAGTTGAATCATACCTGATCAGGTGCGCATAGTTTTTTTCTAGCCACCTCCAGATTCCCAATTGTAAAAAAATCCTCTAAATTTCTGTAGGGTGAGAGCAGGGCCTATTTAATTTTGTCCTAGAGAACAAGTAGCAGCTATAAGTTAAAGACACCTTTCGCAGCAGCAATAAATGCTGTGAATACTTTGTGTACAGCTCCTGATACAGCAGTAAACACTGTAGTCAAGGCTAGCATATAGCTAGAAGTAAACAGCCAGCCATGCTGGCTTTTGTAGCAAACTAAAAAAGCAAGAGACTCAGTTAATGGCAAGATCAAGCATTTTAAAGTCGTTATCTTTGATCTTCCTCCCAAGAGCACAGAAGGCTGAATAAAAACTGAATATACAGTTTTAGAGGTAGGGAAACTGAGGTGCTCACTACAGTCACACCAAAATACACTTTCACGTTCACAACAACATGAGTGACAGAGGACTCTGTCTGAGCTGGATCAAAGAACATCATGGGAGTGGTAACTGGGACTCACTCCCTCATCATAAGACCAAGGTACCAACTCTGCTGACTACTTCTATGTAACACATAAGTCACTCAAACATTTTAAAGCCTCAGGTAATTTGTTGTCTTTGCATCCTTCCACAATAAATGCAATTACTTGAATATTTGTTTTATGAAGCTAAGAGACCATTAACTGGCTTTAAATAGGGTAAAAATAAATGTGTCTCTCATTTCTATTGCACAGTTTTACAGCCAGCGTATTTCACTTGGACTTTTCATATTTTTTAGTTTCTGGTCTTTCCACCTTATCTCTTCCTTAATGATTACTACTACATTAAGGTCCTGCCACACTGAAACAAAGCAATAAAACACGTAAAAAGCTACAGTAACAATGAAGTTACTAGATTAACTGGCTGGAAAGGAAATTGAACTACCTTGCAAAAGGCAGTAGTAGGAAACACATGGAACATCACTATATTCTCGTAAGCTGGAAAAGTTGCAGTGATTGTTAGTCAAGGTACTTTAAGCTTTCTTGTGTTCCTCATGCAATATGAGAAAAAAAAAAAGGAAACACCATTCATGGGCTTCCCAAGCCTACACAAGACACTCTGGCACTGCAGCCAAATACCAAATCCCAGCCCGGTGTGCAGACAAGAACAAAGTTGTGAGAATTTACATACCATTTTTTTCATGTATTTGTACTAGTGACTTATAGGACTGCTGTGCTCTTGCTAGATTATATTGATTCTGAAAGGAGAAAAAAAACCAACATTAAAAACCTGCATCTAGACATGCAAAATTTAAAAACAGTTTTACAAAGGAACTCTACAGTGGGGTTACAAATAAAAACCATGCATGATGTTATGACACTCCTGACTTTAAAGTAATGTATATAAGACAAATGCCCTTATTTTCTCATTTCTCCTCCATCATAATGGCAATAATTTGTATACTGCTGCTGGATAGGCCCCTCTATCAGAGCTAAACCAGAAGTGTCTGCAACCAGCACACTAGGCTTCAGGCAATCTGCACCATAGCTGCCTTGCTCAGCTGACCAGTTACTGGGTTACACAGAATTGTGATCATAAACCTTTACCTCTTACCTAGTTCACTACCCTTGAGTTAATACTTAAAAAATGGCATCCAAGTGACAATTTCATTGACCTAGAGTTATTTAAATATCTTTTGAAAATAGCGCTGTAGTAGTACTGATGCTGAATGGCTAGCTCAGAAGTATTTACATGGTACTATTTTCCACCCTCTCATGAAACATTGCAGATGTCTAGTCCAGGAAAAGGAAGAGCTTCTTACCATTGGCATATGTGTGATCCTGGCAGTCGAACTCTCATCTATAGCGCTTCCCAGAGCCCGGATTACCAGATCCTCCTGATTCCCAATTCTGAATCCTCCTTCCCCACCCCCATGCCAATACAGGGATAGCACAACTCCAACTACTTACACACCCTGCCCATCTCTAGGATTTATCCTCCTCGTACATTCATAATTTCTTAAACTCATAGTTAATTGCCAATAAAATACTCATAGATGCACCAGACACCAAACTAAACAAAAACTCAAATATATTTGCAATGACAATTCTGTCAGTAAGTGTCTTCTACACAAGTCAGCAAAGAAATGGAAGCCTAACAGTACTTTGTGTAATTGATACACACAGCACATTTACCTTATTGGCTCCAAACTGTACTCTGGCTTTTCCTTTGACTAAAGTGGCATTGATCTGCATGATGACTGATTCTATTGAATAGGCACTGCTCCAGCCCTGCAGGAGGAAGGAAATACTTCTATGTAATATGAACATGCTGCTTGTGCTCACCTTGCAAATCTATTTTGGAATGTGTGCTTTGGGATATTTTAATTTTTCTCCACTCCAGTTTTAGTTTTAACTACCTGTTTTCAGTTAACAACTTCTGTTTTCCAGAGAGAATCTGGAAAGTAACATACGGTATTAGTACTAAGAACTTGTAGGAAAAATGAATAGGCTGAATCACAGATTTCCAAAATACAGCAAGACAGAAACAAGAAGAGCTCCATTATTACAACATTAACATATTTTCAGCAACATCATAACAGAAATTACAACTCTTTGTTGTAAGCAGCAGAAAAGGCTGCTATCTAATGAAGCTGCTGAGTGAGCTATGATAATTTTGCCTCTATGAAAATTCACTGTTTCTCTCTGACACTGCTTTACCTTCAGGATTCACAAGTTTCTGCCAGACCCTGCAAATAGTTATTTCTTTCATTTACTTATTTCTAAGAGAAAACAGATCACACTGTCTACACAAGAGTAATCCATGCCTAGAATCTTCTACATTCCTCAGTTCTCCAGAGCTAACTTCATATAGGAGCAGAGGCTCTCACTCTTTACACTGGCTTTCTCCCAGAAATTCTGAGTTCAAAGTTGATGTGCTCTCACTTCTTGCTTCTTCCTCAGACTTCTTGTAAGCCACCCAAAGCAGAAAAGATGATCTTACAAGATAAGGAAGACACATCTAAGGCCACTATGTTCCCTTTGGAGTGTGCGATTTATTCCACACAGGGATTCTTCCAACTGGGAGTAAAAACCTGTTGACATTATTTTAAACATGCTTTGTTATTATCCAGAAAAAAGAGTTTGCGTTCACCTGTTTAGTAAGAAGTTCCATGCATAATGCACCTCCACCTAGGACATACCTAAAACAAACGTGGAAGAAAATACATTTGACACCAGCAGTTATTAAAGAGATGAAACTCTTCACAGCACTTTAAGCTCTTGCAGGCTACTTTGTTAATTTTTTTCCTCTCACATAAAGCTAAAATACCCCTTAAACAGTAATATATTGTAACTAGTTAGCCATATTATACTTACACAAATAAGATTAGCCTTGTGAGACCAAAGAAAAATATTTCCTTTGGTAACTACTCTTAGTTAAAGTCAGTGACCAAGCTAGTCTGCACAACTGCTTATGCAACTGTACTCAGACCGTGAGAAAATGAAGGTTGCTTATTATGGCTACATTCTCTATATGTAGTACTGATACGTACTTGTAAAAAACCCAAACAAATTCACTTCTGTAAATAAATTTAACACAATTGCAAACAACATAGGTGCACCTATAAATCAAAGGTGTAGACAAATGAGAAAGCAGATCTTCACTTGTCCCTTTCCTAGAAAACACTTTCTGATTTCAGTAATACTTCATCAGGCCTTGTGCTGACTGGGACTCAGCAGTCAGCGCACTTGGCCATCATAAAACTTCCAAAAGATGTAGTCTCCCCTATGGTCAAGATGTTCCAACAGCAAAAATCTAAGACATTCAAATGGAAATGATCACTGAAATCCAAACCTTCTGGGCCATTCTTTCTTCTATTCTACAAAGAAGTCCAAGTACAACAAAACTAGAATCTACATAAATTTTCTGGTGTCTGGCATTGCTCGTTACCTTTTTCTGGTAGCAGCAATCCTCACAAACAGTATTTAACTGCACTAACCATTTCTTGAATGTAAAAAAGACACAGCAATTAAATCAGAATCAGCACCAGCTATCACAGACTGCATTTACAAATGTACAGGTACAATTTCAGCAG